CTTAATCGATTACCTGGGCATCAGTTCTTTCAAAAAATTCGAAATTTCACACTGATTTATCGATTAACCCTGCCCGTTAATCGATTAAAACCAGTTTTATAAAGGCAAACAGTAGCTCGGTTTCACACTTTTTCTGGCTTTCTCACTTTCTCTTTTCTGCTTTGAGATTCTAGTATTTCTGTTGCGTGCCTCTTTTATGTTGTTAATTGACGTTTTCTGGTTTATCTGGATGCTAAACATTGTTACTCTTTATGCTATTTTATAATTATGTCGAATAGCCTACTATGCTTATGTGTATGGTTCTTGATCGTATGAGATTTTCTGCCTTGATATGGTTCATCTCGTATGCCGTTCACTTCACTTGTTTGGCTATTTCTGTTGTATAAACTTGCGCACTTGTTTAATCCTCTTTAATGTAAAACAGGTTAATTGTTATATCCCAATATTAACTCATTAACTGTGTTTTATGCATTACTCATATCTCTGCCTCTTCTTTGACCTGAGTTGTCTTTTTGATAATGTCAAGAGGGGGAGAAAGGTTGTTTTTGTTGTTTTCTGATTGTGCAGGTTGATCGTAATAAAAGCTTCCGATATTTGCGCATCATATCAACCTTGCCAACACAATCTTCAAGCTATTTACATTTGATGTGGAGTTTGTCATCATCAAAAAGGGGGAGATTGAAAGTGTGCATGTCAAGAGGAACACTTTGGAAAGCTCTCCTTATATGACTTGGTTTTGATGAGGACAACTTGTGCTAACATGAGCTTGAAGATCATCAACAAATCAACATGCTTAAGCCTTCCGATTGGTATCTTGCTTAGACTAGATTAGTTTAGGTTGAGTCCAAGGCTTAAGTCACCTAATACATATCTCAATTGCATAAATCTTTTAAATCTTTTTCATCTTGAGATATGTCATTCATAATATGTTCATGCATCATATAAATACATGTACATGTGCATTCTAGGCATAATCTAAGTATTAAACATGTATGAATTTAAGTGCATAACATATTTGAAGTTTTTACACATGAAAGTGTGCTGTTAATCGATTACCACTTGGCTTAATCGATAAATCTAACTGTTTGCACAGTGTAATCGATTACAACAAATGTCAATCGATTAATCTAACATTTTTGTGAAGCTTAATCGATTAAAGCTGTCGTTAATCGATTAACTGGGCTTTTATTTCAATTCTTTATAAACTGCATTTTCAGAATTGATCTCATAAGTTGCATGTTAATTTTTTTTAGAGAGTTAGAGCATATTTTCGTGTTAATTGTTGCATCTAGTTGTAAATGCATTTGTGAGCTTAGAAAAGAGAGAATTCTATGCTTTAGGATTGAGTGCTTTTCATGATACATTTCTCATCTTTTCTTGTCACATGTTCTTGCATTTTTACATGATTCTTGATTAGATGTTTACATATTATGCATTCTGTTTTTCACTAATACATTTTTCATACTGCATGAGCTTGTATTAGGTGATTAGAGTAAAGCCTTATCTTGTTAGATATAAGTCTTGTTATAGCTTAAGTTTACTCTGTATTGCTTTGTTTGAAAAAGTGTTGTAATTGTGGGAATCTCAAGGTGTCATATCACCAAGAGATTGAGTGTGTCTTCACTGAGTGTTAGACTTAGGGATAAGTAAAGAACAAGGTTCTTGGCTGGGGCTACGCCGAAAGAAGGTTTTCTTTGTCGGTAGGAAGGGAGTCAAACCATAGAATAGGTTTCTTTTTATCTTGTAAGTGTCTAATTGTTGTAATTGGATAGTGTGTATGTAATTAACATTCATTCAATTATAGTGAAGAAAAATCTCCCAAATCAGTCGGGTGGCCTGGATGTAGTTTGCGGTGGACAAGCAAACGAACCAGGATAAAATTCTTGTTGCAGGACTTTTTCTATCTCTCTCTCTTTATTGCATTTGATCGATTAATTTCTTTAGTAGATTTAATTGATAATCTGTGTCTATACTGTATTACTTGTACTCTGATAAAATTCTGTAAGCCTGGTATAATCGTTTCATTATCAATTAATTGTCGAGCAAGAAACTGTACTTGCATTTGCTTACTGTCACGGTTTAATCGATTAAGTGTGGTGTGTTAATCGATTACTTCAGTCTGTTAATCGATTAAGTGGACTGTGTTGAAAGTGTTAATCGATTACCCTGTTTTGTTAATCGATTAATCAAGGTGTTTTTCAGCATTAAGTGTTGTTTTCGAAAAGCGGACATTCTAACCGCTACACCTATTCAACCCCCCCCCTTCTAGGTGTATTGTAATCACTGATACCTAACACTAACATGATTAAATAAGGAAATCCCTAATCGGTTCCTCTTTAATCATTTTAATCCACGAAGACCCTCCAACTAGTGAGTGTCGTTGGAGTCTCCAATGTTATGTTCTATAACCACTAGGTCTAATGCTGCTCCCTCACTTGAGTATCCGTTAGCATTTGCGTTAGGTAGCTTTGTTAGGCTCTCCTTTATCTTCTCCAACCTTAGGATCTTTCCTCATTCATGACAAAACAACAACAACAATCAATCACTATTCATATCAACCAAACCAAGAACGTCATACTAATACTCGTCGTTCCTTATGGGACAAGTCTAGAATTACAACATTCATTTCTCCATCCAGAAGGAGGTTCAAAATATTTCAAATAAATCAAGGGTTTTGGTGAGATTTCAAGTACTAGTCAAATTGCAACATTTGTGTCTTGCCTACGTTTCGATGAAGACAAAGCCGACCTGAAAAGCTTGAAGACCGGACGCATCAACATCCAACATGACCAAGTGTAACACCCCAAATTTTAAGTCTTTAAAATTATAGTATCAGTCCTCGGATCCTCGCTTGAGCGAGAGAGGTTCAACTGGGAGGGTGAAATCCTGGGCTATACTAGAGGATTCTCGCCTGAGCGAGAGATGTCTCGCTTGGGCGAGAAATGGCATTTGGGGCTGGTTGACACTGTGAGATTCTCGCTTGAGCGAGAGGGTCAGAGTTGGTTTTTAAAATGGGCGGGATTTTCTCGCTTCAGCGAGAGAAAGCTCGCTTAAGCGAGAACCCGACGAGAACATTAAATGAGGGAAACCCCTAAACCCATTTTAGGTTAAGAATTGAAGAGAGGTGAGAGAAGAGAGCATTCCCAAGGTCTAGGAGCTTTGATTCTTGTTCAAGAGCTTGAGAAGAGGTAAAACTCTCTATCCTAACTCTCTTCTTCCCTTGAGAACTCATTTTTGGTATTATGGATCTCTTCTCAAAATTTATAAAACCATGGAAACTCTCTCTTTCGAGTTATGGTTCATGTTATGTCGTTTGTACCTTGTAAACTCTTGGTTTTGAGTTAGTATTCCAAGAATGGAAAGGGGTTTGTGGGTTGACTCATGGAAACCCAAAACCCTAGAGAGAGAGAATGAGGTTAGAGAGGAAAGATGGGTAAAATGCTAGAGGTAGAAGATGAGTTGCTCTACAATGTTAAAATATGAGATGATTTGTATTTTTTAGATGGTTGAAAACTCTTAATGAAAGTAGTATAGAACCATTGAGAACATGATAAATATCTTGTACGTTTAAATGATGCAATATAAGCTATTTATTTGTTATTTGGAATGAATGACTAACATTGTGTTATGTGGTGGGAATGAGGAATGATCCTAAGTTTGGAGGTGGTGCTGGTGGAACTTGCGAAGTCACCAAAAACCAAACCCAACACTCACCGAGGCAAGGGTAAGTCTTTAATTTATGCATTATGTGGAAAATGTGTGGACTTTCTATTATGGATGATGGATAAAATGTGAATCACTTAATCATTATGAACATATATGGGTATGTTGATAATAGTTAGAAGTGAGTTTAAGGTTTACTTATTGGGGGAGTACCAATGAAATAAGACTCGAAATGAAATCATGAAATGTAAATCACTTTGTAGTTATAAGCATACGTGGATATGTTTATAATGATGTCGGGTGTATTTATCATTTCTGTATTGGGGGAGTAGCAATGGAAATAAGACTCGAAATGAAATCATGAAATGTAAATCACTTTGTAGTTATAAGCATACGTGGATATGTTTATAACGATGTCGAGTGTATTTATCATTTCTGTATTGGGGGAGTACCAATGGAAATAAGACTCGAAATGAAATCATGAAATGTAAATCACTTTGTAGTTATAAGCATACGTGGATATGTTTATAATGATGTCAGGTGTATTTATCATTTCTGTATTGGGGGAGTACCAATGGAAATAAGACTCGAAATGAAATCATGAAATGTAAATCACTGTGTAATTATAAGCATATGTGGATATGTTTATAATGATGTCGGGTGTATTTATCATTTCTGTATTGGGGGAGTACCAATTGAAATAAGACTCGAAATGAAATCATGAAATGTAAATCACTTTGTAGTTTTAAGCATACGTGGATATATTTATAATGATGTCGGGTGTATATATCATTTCTGTATTGGGGGAGTACCAATGGAAATAAAACTCAAAACTTATTGGGGGAGTACCAATGGAAATAAGACTCGAAACTTATTGGGGGAGTACCAATGGAAATAAGACTCGAAACTTATTGGGGGAGTACCAATGGAAATAAGACTCGAAATATAATGACATAAATGGTAAATCACTTAGTCACTAGAAATATATATGGGTATGTTTGTAGTGATGATGGGTGTCATGTCGATAAAATGGCTTGAATCCTCTTTACGGTAAAAAATTGGAAAAATGGGTGTAGTTTATTTAATTTCACCCCCCTTTTTATTATACAATGCGGAATCGATGACCTATCTTATGTATCAATTAATAAGAATTCTTTGGATTTGAAGAAAAAAAACAACTTTGCTGACAATTGACAATTATTTATTTGGTCAGAAGAGTCCTCAAAATATTCTGGTCTTCTATTAGTAATCAATTTCAATATTTTTGGAATGGAATAGAGAGGATAGGCTCATTACATAAAAAAGATAGGGAATTTTCCCATTTAGTAATTGAGTGTGAGAGCCAAATGAATCAAAAGATTCATGTTTGGTTCGGGAAGAGATCATAGACATTTTGAAATTAAATGAATGGAAAGTTATGGTTTATTTATTGGTGGAGTGCCAATGAAAATAAAACTCGTTTTAGCCGACCAGAATGGGTTAGCAACTCTAGCTTGAGTTATGTAGCATGGTTTTTCAAAAGTATAGATGACGAAAAAGGTTTTTTAAGAGTATTTAAATTATATCACTGTGAAAACTATTAAATGTGGATTAACTGACATTGAGTTTATTGAATTAATGACTTATTCCTTTGCGTTGTTTGTGCGTGGTAAATGTTAATCCCATTGCAGGTAGGTGGACGGGGAAGGATGATTTTGAGTAGGGGATTAGAGACTTATGTTTTTAGTGTCTCTTATTACATTCTTTTGTAACCTTAATTGATTGTAATTGAAGTAACTAATGGTACTATGAATCCTATTTTTGTGTATGATACTGATTAGGGAGACTGGTAACTCGGGATATATGTAGCTATGGATGTTTTGGAAACCCATAGCTAATTGTATGCGGTGGTTACTAGGTTATATTAATGAATTATGTTTTTCTGCTATCGAATGTTGTATGTTACATATGGTTCAAAGATAGGGTGTGAGTGTGAAGTGAGACTTTTAAAATAAATTTAATCACTCGGTAAGTATGATTGATTGTTAAATGTATGGAATTGGATTAAATAAGGAAAAAAATTTCAAGGGTAGAATTTCGGGTCGTTACACCAAGACTCTGACTTTAGGAAGGTTTTATTTTTTCTAGAAGTCCAAAGATGCTTGCTTACCTTTGAGTCTAAGTCAGGTAATCCAAAATGATGCTCGTCTCACGCGCTCGTAAGATTGCCTAAAAATAATTTTTTAGAGTCATCATTCTTCCTTTTAGTAGGTTGCATCCAAATTATATTTTCTATGAAAATCATGCATCATACTAAGTACCTATCTATTTTGTTGGGTTACCTCTTAACCAAGAAAACTTAAAGTTTTTCTGATAATTGATCCTAACAATGATATAATCGATTATTTGACTGCACAGACCCTTTAATCGATTAAGAGTAACTCTGATTTTTTATTCTTAGCAGTTATAATCGATTATGTATTTTGTTAATCGATTATGTTCAACAGAAATGTGTTAATCTTTAAACCGTTAATCGATTAAGATGTCATATAATCGATTAGACCTGTTGAAACCAGAAAACTATAAATGACCGGGTTTTTCTCATTTTGACAATAACTTTGATTTCACATTTTTTCGAACTTACGTTTTCGAAATCCCAAATTCTCTGTGCAGATATTCACTGATCGAGGCCGTACTCGATACAAATAATATAACAATAAAGTATAGTACTAGGAAGTGACTCCTAGGTCGTTTCCCAAAGATTATCTTTCTCACAATGGTTCAAACACCTTACACGCACACACACAATGGGGGGTTTTAGTGGTTGTTATGCTATGAAATTAAGCTAAAACAGAACACAAACAGAAAACAGAATAGTAAAGAGGCTAAATCCCTTTGGTTTCCTTGTAAACAACTCAATCCTCGGTTTCAATATATCAAAATCAGATTCTCAGTGTTCCTTTGTTGAGAGTCGATTAACTAAGCGATGATCAAATCACAGTTAAATTGCTAAACCTCTAACTAAGTGAAATTGGCATAAGCAACAAACAGTTAACAAAGTCACACGAATCAAAGCATCAATTTCAGATTCTACACATTGAATTCCTAATCTGTTCATAACTCTAATGTTTAAGCTTCAAACCAAGCGAATTCAACATAAACATAGGGCATTTACAGATTCACATAAACTAAGCGATTATGTTCTAGAGAACTAATTAACTAAGCGAAAATCAATTCACAAACCTAAAACAACACCATGGAATTAAGCAAACCATAACATGAAATAGGATAGAAGCTTCAACAACATAAAACCGAAATTGCATTAATAACAACATAGAAACCGAAAATGCATTAAGCACTAAACCTCAAGAGTGTGATACATTACCAAAGGAATTTAGCACTAAACCTCTAGCCTTCCATGGAGGAAGAAGCAAAACCGAATTTGGAGGAGGAAGAAGATGAAAAACGAAAACCTAAAAGAACCCCAAAAGGGGGAAAACGAAAATGTAATGTAAAGTTGTGTGTGAAAAAGAAATTCTAAGCTTATTAAAGGGTAAAATCGAAATGGGCCCTAAAAAATGGGCCCAAAACCTAAAACGGAATTAAAAATCCTATAACTAAATACAATCTTCACTTTATCACACATCTTCCACTTGTAATGCCCAAAATGTCCTTGGTGCCAAATATGTCCTGAAAATGGAATTAGATTTAATTAGGCTAAATAATCCCAAATTTACTCATTTTAGGAATAATAGTCCAATAAAGCCTAAAACACTAAACAATGCCAAATAAAGTCAATTAGACACCAAGAATCATTAACAATGGTAAAATAAGGTTATTAATAGTGTGTAATATTTGACTCATCATTCACTCTATGCTTAAGTGTTAAATTCTTTGAGAGAAAAACCTTTTACTTGTGAACAGTGTTCTTGGTTTTCATACTTTGCAAAAACAAAAGCTTTCTTTTTTATACTTGTGCAAATTTGAGTGCACTAACCTGTTTTTCAATCCTTTGATTCCTCATACACCTGTGAGTGAGTGTAAGTAAATCATCTTTTGGGTTGTTAGTGGCTTGTGTAAATCTCTAAGGTTTAGAGAGAAGGTTGTAATATCAGCTAGCTGAGGTTGGCCTGATATAGTCTTCACTGAGTATCTTGTTTGGCGCATCGAGTAGCAAGATTGGCAACCGTTTGCGAACGGAAGGAAGTCAAGGCTTGGGGAAGTAGGATTCACATAGCAAGTAGGAAATTTTCAATTTGGAAGTGTGTGTGTAAAGAACATTTTAAAATATAGTGAAGCAAATATCTCAAGATCAGAATGGGAGGCCTGGAAATAGTTTGCTAGTCGACAGGCAAACGAACGAGGATAAAATTTCTTGATCTTCTTTCTTTTTCCCTTATCTTTTACTTTTCAAGCATTTAGCGTTTCTTGCATTCTTTAACTTGAAAGATTGAGTCTTTATTGATAAAGATTAAATCTTTGATATCTGTATAATTGCTATGTGCTGTTTGTGATATCTTGTTTAAAGGTTGCTTGACTCTTGCATTGCTTACGTACCAAGAAACCAATTTACATAGCTGTTATTTCTGGTTTTTCTGCACCAGATAATCGATTGTTTCAATTCGTTAATCGATTAAATATGTTTCAATTAATCGATTGTATTTTCTGTTTATCGATTATTGTGGAATATTTTTGTGATTTTTTATTCTTTGCGCATAAATTCGAAAAGCGGACATATTGACCGCTCGCACCTATTCACCCCCCGCTACGTGTTATACTCTGATTGACCAGTACCCTAACAAGTGGTATAAGAGCTAGTATGTGAGTGCTAGCTTAACCGCTTCGATCGTTGATCCTCGGCAAATCAAACGATGGCCTCTACCAATCCTTTTGGAGGTGATGGTCCATCCATTAACCGTCCACCAATTTTTAGTGGCGAGGGGTATGCCTACTGGAAAGTGAGGATAAGAATCTTCAAAGAAGCCATTGATACGGACATTTGGGATTCCGTTATGAATGGTCCTCACACACCACTATACTTAGTGGAAGGTGAGACGAAAGACAAACCTAAGAACATGTGGACTAATGATGAGAAACGAAAAGTGCAACACAATTTGAAAGCTAAAAACATCATCACGTCCGCACTATTTTATGATGAGTTCTTTCGGGTTTCACAGTGTAATAGTGCCAAAGAAATGTGGGACACCTTAAAGTGACTCACGAAGGCACTAGCGAGGTCAAGTGCGCTACATTGAATGCTTTAACTCATGAATATGAACTGTTTCGCATGTTTCCAAATGAATCTATTGGTGATATGCAAAAACGTTTTACTCATATTGTAAATCATCTAGTTTCCTTAGATAAGACATTTTCGAAAGGAGAATTAACTAACAAAGTCTTAAGATGCCTTGACAGGAACTGGCAACCGAAGGTGACTGTTATCATGGAGTCAAAGGATCTTGATTTGATGGCGTTAGCAACTCTTTTCGGCAAGCTCCAAGCACACGAGATGGAGCTTGGTCGACTGACCTTACACGAAGAATCAGACAAGCGTAAAAAGGGAATATCACTAAAAGCATCCACTTCTCAGGACCAAGAAGACAAGGATGATGATGAGTCTGATTTAGAAATCGACGCTGAAACCATGACGCTTCTAGTACGAAAATTCAACAAATTTCTAAAGAAAAGAGGAAGCTCAAATAGGTTTCAAAAGAAAGAAACTCGCAACTCGACCTTCAAAAACAAGAATTCAAAGGAAAAGTTCTCATGTCATGAATGTGGAAAAGCTGGACACTTGAAGTACCAATGTCCAGTTTATCTAAAGAAGATCGAAGGCGAAAAGAACACCTCTAAGGACTTCAAATCAAAGAAAGCCTATATTGTATGGGATGTTCCGGAAGAGGACTCAACAACAAGCACCTATGATGAAGAGGAAACTACAAAGATTTATCTCATGGTGAATGACAATGAAGCTGGTCCCTCCTCAAGGGTTGATGAACTCAATGAGGTAAGTTCTCATGAATCTAGTTCATGTACTACCTCTAGTAATTCACCTACATATGATGAACTATAAAGCGCTTTTGTTGAGATGCATGAAGAACTCAAGAAAGTTGCTAAATTAAACGTAGATCAGAAAAGTGTTATTCTATTGCATGAAAATAAAATAGTAAGCATGCAAAAAGAAATAGATGAACTTAAGCTTGAAAATGAAACTCTCAATCTCATTTATTCTAGTGCTTCATGCATGTGTTCTACTAAAATTATTGAGACTCCTGAAAGTGAAACTTGTTTTGAACTGAAAAAATGAAAATGACAAACTGAAAAATAAGATAACAAAATTCACATTCAGCAGTCAGAATCTTAACAGATTACTTGCTTCATCAAAAAATGTAGGAAATAGAATCGGTCTCGGGTTCAAACATAAAAGCAAAAAGAAACCTTTTCGAAAGCAT